GGGGGCAGGAGGGCAGCCGGGGCAGGGACTCCCCAGGTTCATTGGAATGACAGGAACCAGGTGCTGGAAAGGAAGAGGCGGCTGCGGAGAAAGGGCAGAGAACCTGGGCGGGTGCTGCCGAGGCTGCCGCGCCAGCCGAGCCGCCCTCGAGGTCCCGAGGCTGTTTGAGGTGTTTCTCTCCTTGGACGGGAGCTTGGCTCTCGGGCGCATGGCTGGGCTTCCTCTCATCTGGAGTGAGAGGTGATCTTGGGTTTTTACTCTGGACTCGGTATCAGGCCAGGGATTGCTCCAGACTGTGCCATCTGTCCTCCCAGAGAAGCCCCTCCACACTCGAGCAGGGTCTCTGCCGGCCACACGGGTCCCAGTTGCTCTGTCACCCCCAAGCCCAGGCTCCGGGAGCCCCTCCAGAGCTGCTCACACCTTAGAATGTCCCCTTGTTAAAGTTTATCCCTGGAACCAAACAAGCCCCAAACGGGGAAAGCTTGTCGACCCAAATCACAAGGAACAGAATCAAAACTGACGACTTCCTTTCTTCAGATAAGGAAACAGGTGCGGAGAGTCCCCACTGAGTTCACGCAGCAAAGACGACGCCCCATAATAAAGGGACACTGTGTGGTCATGTGCTCACTATTCAACAAATCCTTGGCCACCGGGTGGGGATTTTTATGCAACCCCGTTCTCCACAACAACTGGGCCACACTGGAAAACTAATGCTGGGCGGGGAAAACCTACCCAAGGTCACCGCCAGACAAGTGGCCAAATTAAGACCAGCGCCCAGGCCTGCAGTTCGGACGCCCCCACAAAGCTCAGAGGAGAATCATCACTCTTCTTCCCCAGTCCCCTTCACCTTTCTACCAGCGTCTCCGTGCTGGTCTCCAACTTTACTCAGTGCAAACAGCTCATCTGTGGTTCCGCAAGGCTATGAGGTGGCCCCTGGCAAGGCCCCGCTCTGGTCGGGTCTGCTGGGCCATCTGCAGTGTTTCACCTTCAACCAGGAGAAAGGGGTCCTCACCCCGCAGGGAAAGTGCCTCTGGGAGCCGGAGGGAAGCTGACTTTATAGAGAGAAGCCCCTGCCCCTGGCCCGGATTGGTCTGTCCTCATGCAAACGAGGGTTCTAAATCCTCAGTTTGATTGGATTTGATTGGTCCAAAAGAGACTGTCCTAATTGGTCAAAAGGGAGCCACTCAGACTGGTCCCTGAAGATGCTGATGGGGAAAGTCTCCATCCCATTGGTTGAAACACAGTTCCAGGGGCCCCTTATAAGGGCTGGCTCAGTGGCAAACCCACAGTGCCCGATTCTGGCAGGTAAGCCTTTGGCTTTTCCCTGAAGTGCAGCCTGTGTGCACGGCTAGACCCTGGTTGTGGATAGGAGCCTTTCTTGGATGATAAACATCTCTTCTCAAGATGCACAAGTGTTGCCCGTCTTGAAATCCAGACCTTTCGCCTGGGGGTGGCTGTCTTCCTCTAACCCCACCTTCACCCCCCACCCCCATGAACACACCTGCTCATGCATCAGGTCTCAGGCAGAGTTTTTTTTGTGAAACATCAAATCACCTGGGTGACTCAGCCCCCCTGAAGCCCAGATTCGGCATTCTACGGCTTCTGGCTTTTCCCAAAACTCCTAAAATCACCTTTGAAAGAGAAGAGATTTCAGATCATTGATGAGATTCAGGAAAATTTGACAGGGCAGCCGATAGAGACTAGGAGAACTGTACGAGGTCCCAAAATGCCTACTTTGAAGAGGATTGAGGTGTCATTGTCCTGTGTGCAATGTGTCTTGTATCTTGTATTTTCTCCAATAAATGTCTCTGTTTTTCATAGTACATGTCTGGATACCTTCTGGACAGACCTCATATATTAATAGGGTTGTTATTATACTTCTGTGGACAGTGAACATTTATTTGCACTGAGGTCTCCTTAGTTTAGACTAGATGATAACGGTTTCTCTCCAGCAGAAGAAGCAAGTGTCTAACTTTCTTGAGGCCCAGCACTCACATCTCCCACGTCTTCTCAGGGGTCAGCTCTGTCCAGTATTTCCCCAGTGACAGTTGTCCCCGAAGGCACAGCGCCCTTCCTGACATTCACAGAACGGTCACCAAAGGATCCCCAATGCAGGGACATGGTAACAGAGTCTCCGTGTTGAGAGGGGAGGCTTGTCGCAAACCAGAAGGCAGCGCCAGCTGCGCCCTTTGACCATCGCTGGCTTCCCAGCAGCAGCCTCCCCCGGCGCAGAGAGTCACAGATTTACCAGCACAGGCCTGTTCCCGTGTTTAACACTCATTCACAAGCGCCAGCGGGCAATTCAACGGCTGCCCTCTGGGGGGAGAGGGACCAGGACGCGGCGCTGCACCCAGAGCGGAGCACCGAGGCAGCGCCAAGTTCAAACACTGCGAGTCCCCCCGGGGCTGCCCTGGGTAGAGGCCCCTCCCTCCCGGCCAGCACCCTGCGCTCCGCTGGCCTCCGACCCCTCTCCGTCCCAGAGAGCACGGGGCCCACACATCAGAGACCCGGGTCAGGGTCGTTTCTCTCCCTTCTTCATCTGCGTCCGAGGACGCCCTGCCCACCCCGCGGTGTGGGCACTGAGCCCGCGTGCGGCGGCTCCGGGCGCCCCCGGCTTCCCGGGCTTCCTCCGCCCCGCTGCGCGGCTGGCTCCCCGCCCTCCCCCCTGCGCCGCCCCCTCCCCCTGCGCGCTGTCACTGGCTGCACCTCCAAGGCCGCACAATAGAGGCTCCGCCCTCGCCCTGCAAGCGCCGGGCTGCCTCCGCGCCCAGCAGTCGGCGCGATCTGCCCGTGCACCCCAGGCTCCGGGCCCCCAGCCCCGCACGACCCCAGGGTCCCGCTGCTGGCAGTGCGCGCCCAGCCCAGACCGCTTCGTCCCGCCTTGGGGCCGCCAGGCCACCTCCGGCTTCCCCCTGCCCCGCTCCACCGGAGGGAGCGCAGTCCGGGCTGCTCCCACCGAGGGAGATGTCCGAGCGGTCCCGGGCGCGCCCGCCTGCCGCCCTCGGCTGCACCCGGCTGGAGAAGGCGCTCTGAGCGCTGTCCTCGGACCTCCGGCGAGGGACCCTCTCGCCTCCGTCGCTCCGGACCGGACCTCCGACGCTGCCGCGGGCAGCCAAGCCCCTTTTTGCCGCCCCCATGGCCAAGCCTCTGCTGCTGGTTCTGTGCCTGACTCTGGGTGTGGCTCGGGGCTGCGCGTCCAGCGCGGCCCCCACGGGAACCAGCGAGCCCCCTGTGGGAACCAGCGAGCCCCCCGCAGGAACCAGTGAGCCCCCGCTGGCCCAGACGGTGGCCCCCACGGAGGCCGAGACCCTGCAGAACGAAGCGGACAACCAGGAGAACATCTTGTCTCAGGTAGATCCCCGGCCACCTGCCTGCGCCCATGACGGCATCTGCTCCCTAACCAATCAGAATAGTTTCATGGGGGAGGGACACGGGTCTCTTCAGGTGATGGAATCAGGAGAAAGAAGGGAAGACCATGGAACCTCTCAGTTCGGGGCTGGGGACAGCAGGGCCACCTCTGGTCTGCGTGGCCATTTGTCCAGCTGGGAATGTGATTGAAGACAGATGTTGGTTAGAGTTGGGTGGTGGGACCCATGGGGAGATATTTCACTGCAGGAGCAAGACTCCCAGGAGAAGATGGGGTGACCGTGGGCAGAACAGCCGCGCGGGAGGCCCCCCCAACACAAAGGGACTGACAACCCCTGAGTGGGGTCAGACCCCCCGGGGCTGACACATCGGGTGGGAGGTGCGGGTGGCCGTGACGGCCCATAGCGACGGCTTTGTAAAGTGTCCCTTCCCGAAGGGCTTTGCTCACTTCCTGAAGGGACCCTCCTGCCCCCGAGCCCCAGTCTGCAGGAAAGGACCACGACACTCGACGGGTTAGAGCTGGGGGCCGGCGGAGCCTGGGTTCCCATTGGCTTTCCAGACCGGTCCACTGTCAGGGACGGCTCTCCCCCGACTCTCCCCGGGCTGTTTATCTCCTGTTCCCCAGAGCCGGCGTGACGACGAGTGGTGGGTGTCGCTGTGACCTAAGCAGGGGGTGGCTGAGAAAGAGCCCCAGGCAGGCAGCTGTCAGCGCCTCCACCAGCCTGGCCCTGGTCTCCTGGGCCTCCCCTTGGCCACGAAGCTTACGCTCACCCTACACCACTCCCGCCCTCGTGCTGACCCCTAAGTCGAAAAGCAGATGCCTCACACTGGGGCTTTTTGGGGTGACTTTTCCCGAACACCCAGCCTCTGGAAGGCAGGTCCAGGAAGGACCTGGGCAGAGTCTCAGAGGGCTGCAGGCAGTGGACGGGCGGCCCTGCTGGGCCAGTCACCCCAAACCACCCCGTGAGCCTCTCTGCGTGGGAGCACAGGCCTCACACAACTGTCGGTGTTAGAAGAAACCCAACTTCTGTGGGAGAAACATGGCCGGCCTGCTCCCCACCATCCCGGGAACGTTTCCGCAGCAACGGGCTCCTGACCTGCCAGCCGGGTCACCGGCCGCACGGAAGGGACCAGTCTCTGTGCCTGGAAAGGGAGCCTGTCTTTGGGGGCACCAGGCCTGCTGGAGGGAGGGGAGCAGGGGGAGCCTGTGCCCCTGCGTGTGCCCGCCAGCCAGGCCTGCTGCGGAGGGTCCCGGGCCGGCTGGCGGGGCCACGCTCTGAGGAAATGGTTTGCATCGTGGAAGCGAAAGGGCTGCCAGTTTGCATTCCTCCATTTGGCCTGGAGTTTGGGTTCAGAGACTGCCCTAGGAGCCAAATAAACCCATAAGCTGAGTAATCCTCGCTGACTTCTCCACCCAGTTCCCTTCCTCCACTCTAACCCATCCTTCGAGGCCCGGCTCTAACACTGCCTCCTCCGAGAAGCCTTCCGGGGCCCGGCTGGCGCACAGGCCCTGGACTGAGCTCCCACTGTGCTGAGCACACAGTGGGGTGTTTCTGCTTTGCTGGGACTGTTCCTTCCCTCCCTCCCGCACGGCAGCCCCTGAGCGCCGGCTGGGCCCCGGCCCATGTCCTCACCTCTGGGCACCCAGCACCGTCAGGTCTGAGGCAGCACTCAGTAGGGAGGATGGCAAGGGGGGCGGGAGGAAGCGGTCTTCAAGTCTGAGTGTCGGCGAGTCCTCCGTCTGTCTGTCCGTCCTATCTCCGTTCAGCCACGCCTGGTGCTGGTTTGGGCGAGAACTGTGGGAAGGAGGGAGGGTTTTGATGCAAGGCCGCAGCCCCTGCAAATGTGCAGCTTCTGGGGGGCGGGGCGGCCACGCAGGCGACCTCAGGAAGCTGTCACGTCAGCAGGCGGTGTCACGGTGGCTCCTTGTGCCACCGTCAGACTGGCCTGAGGTCTCTGACCACGGGAGCAGAGAGCCCGCTGCGGGGGTCAGTGCACGCGCCCTGCCATCTTCCCGTCTGTCTGTCCGTCTGTCTAGTTGCTGGGAGACTATGACAAGGTCAAGGCCGTGTCCGAGGGCGCCAACTGCCAGTGCAAGTGCGTGGTGAGGCCCATGGCCCAGGACGCCTGCCGGAGGGCCCACGCGGGGGGCTCCCGACAGGAGGACTTCTACACCGTGGAGACCATCACCTCCGGCCCCGCCTGCAAGTGCTCCTGCGTGGCGCCGCCTTCCGCCCTCAACCCCTGCGAGGGGGACTTCAGGCTCCAGAAGCTTCGGGAGGCCGACAGCCAGGACCTGAAGGTGGGACCCGCTGGGGGCGCTGCCGTGGGCGAGGGACGGCCAAGGAACCCTGGAGTCTGTCGCGCCCGGGGGACATGGGCCTGGGAGCAGGCGGACCTGCTTCACCTTTACCCAGACTGGTCACTGTCCGACCCGTCAGCGGGGAGACGTGGGGAGCGGACTGTGCCCGCCTCCCCCAGGCAGCCCCGGAGGCAGGGCCCGGGGGCAGCTGCCAGGCCCAGCAGCCAAAAGAACTTGGCGTCCTTCCTGGGGCTGCCACGGCGGACGGTCACCAGCACGCCCCCCGGAGAGGCGAGGGACACACACCCGGGCGTCAGCGTGAGCACTGGGTGACGCCAGGGACGCTGGAGTCTGGCTGTGACCCTGCGGTCCTGGTCCCCTGGGGCGGGGAGGCTCCGGCCTGCCTGGGGCGGCCTGTGGGCCTCAGCTGGGCCCTGATGTCCCCCTTCCCTGGCAGCGTGGACAGTGGGAGGAGCCGGGTGTGGGGGTCAGACAGACGGGTTCAGAGCGTCACTCTGCCACCACTTGTGTCTTCCGACTCAAGATCTTTACTGGTCTGGTCTGAATCCCCCGAAGGGAAGCGAGAACAGTAACACCCTCCTTGTGGGACTGCCATCGGAGCTGACGACCGTCGATTTTGTCCTTGGCACCGTGCACATGTGTGGCATTTAACAGATGACCGCAGGACGTGCCACTGGGCTGGCACCCGGCGCTCTCTGGGTCACTGGTGGTCATCAGCGTCCCTTTCAGCCGATTGCTGCTGCCCCAGACAGCGAGGGTCCCAGGACTCGGCTGCAGCCCTGGGAGCTGCGGTCTGCCCTGAAACTACATTCTGACCCAAAGGCCTGGTCCCAGGGTCTAGACCAGGACTCTGGGGGACAGGCAGGCAGAGCCAGACCCCACCAGGCGCCCTCTGTGGCCTTGCCCAGGACACAGCTGCCGCTGTCAGTGGGGAGGAAGGAGACCCCCGGTCCCGGGCGTGTGAGGCTGGGCGCCGGGCGGGAGGCCAAGATGCAGGCTGGGGTCCAGCAGTCTGTGCCGGGTGTGGCCCCGGCAGGGAGGCTCCCGGGAAGCATCCGTCCTCTGCCCCCACACGCCCCGGGTGCCCCCAGAGCCTCGCTGCCTCCTCCCCGGGCTCCGTCCTGGCAGGAAGGGCCGAGGCGGAGGAGCCGAGCAGACTGACTGCCTGACGGCTGGTGGCCTTGGAGGCGGGTCCCTGGACTCTTTCACACCAGGCCCGTGAGGCTCTCGGTGCTGAGGGAAGACGGGCGTCTCCAGGGCCCTTGGCAGACGACACAGGTGAGTCGGGAGCACGCCCACAAGGCACTGAAATTCACGGTCACTGTGCCGAGTATCCACAGGTGCCCGACTGGGACGGGCGCCCCACTGACACAGCCGGGGTAACATAGGCGCCACTTACGAAACGAAGAGTCACAGCCCCCCAGGACAGGCGGTCACACGGGTGACACGGAGACTCACCAGGAGGAGTGAACGGTTTTCCTCAGCCGACCCCAGCCCCCGAGGGCCACCTCTCAGGTCCCCGCTGGGCGCCCTGCAGCCCTGCCCTGGCGCTGACCAGCCCTGTCCTTGTCCCGCAGCTGGCCACCATCATCGACATGCTGGAGGGGGCTTTCTACGGCCTGGACCTGCTGAAGCTGCACTCGGTCACCACCAAGCTGGTGGGGCGAGTGGACAAGCTGGAGGAGGTAAGGAGGGTTCTGGGTCTCCCCGTCTTTCTCCCGGCTGAGCCCCCAAGTGCAACAAACTCCCACGGTGCTTTTGCAGAAGGCAGGGACCCTGACTAGACGTAAGCCACTCCATTCTTTGGAAAGAAACAACGTACGGCAAACGCGCATCCAAAGTGATGCCGAGTTGGAGACATAAAATACGAAGACCTTCCTTTTCTCACAGACGAACCGCACGGTCGCCGCGGCCGTAGTAAGGGCCCCTCTAATGTGGACCGTCCTCACAGAGGCTCCAGGCTTCTCCAGGGCCCCCTGGGGCTGCGTTGCCCTGCTTCCCAGGTGTCAGCCGCACCTGTCCTGGGCTGGATGCTCAACAGCTGTCTGCTCGGGGGCGACTGGCCGTGGCAGCTGGCAAGCTCACCCCCAGGCCGCTGCCCATGTCCATCAGCTGGGGTCAGAGGCATCCGGCCCCGTCCTCCCTGTCCTCACGGTCTGAGCACCAGCTGTTTCAGGGGCTGGAGGCAGCTGTCCCTGGCCACCTGGTCCCCGTTGTGTCCTGGAGGGCCCAGGCTGAGCTGCAGGGAACTCCAGCCCCCTCCGCCAGAGCCCAGCAACCCCCACACTTGCTCACGTCACTCCCACGAGGAAGCCAGTTCCCTCCGCCCAGCCTGTGCCCTTCAGCAAGGCCCTGAGCACATCCATCCGCCTGCGGTGGGTCCAGCAGCTCCCGGCTGTGGGGCCGCACCCACTGCACAGCTGGGACCCTGCTGAGCCCAGGTGACGTCTGGTGAGCTGTCCACCAGGTGTGCGGGGGTCTTTACAGCACAAAGCTCAGGGTCCCTGCCCCTTTCCACCCACCTGTCTGCGGCTGAGACTCAGGGCCCCTCCCGCCCCACCTCACCCGGTGCCAAGCTGCACATGCAGCCCCCGCCGCTGTGGGTCCCAGGCCTGGGGAGGGAGGCAGGGAGCACCCTTCCTGCCTGGCCACTGGCCCGTGGGGTCACACAGCCAGGCCACACTCCTGCTGCGGGCATCTCGCTTGGTGCCCAGACAGCACCTCCCCCCACGCCCACCCCCTGCTCCGGCTGCACCAACAAGCAGCCAGGAGCTGCCTGAGCTCAGGGCCCCGGTCCCCTTTCCCAGGTCCAACACCCAGGCTCAGTCTCAGCCAGGAGCGCACACCTGTCCAACAGCTGGACACGGTGCAGACAGTCTGTGCCCGGGGACAGCCTCCCCCACCTCCTCTGGCCCCCACCCATCCCCCACCCACAGGCCTGGTGGCTGAGCACTGCCCTGTGCCCACTGGGCCCGGAGTCCACCCACGTCCACTTCCCCCTGCCCGGTAGCTCTGCCTCGTTCTCTCGCTTCCTCCCTCCGGTGTCTGCAGGTGTGTGCACGGGCCCCGCCCACCTGGCAGTGCTGTGGCCGCCGGCAGCCCCCCCCCGTGCACGGTGCTGCCCCTCCAGCCTGTGGCACCTGGCCGCGCACGCTCTCCACCCCCAGGAGCGACTCCCCAGGTCCCCCGGCGGCAGCCCGTCTGGTCTCCTCTGCCTTCTGAGCCACTCTGCCCAGGGATCCTCCGTGGGGGCCGCGGGACACCCTCGCCCTGCCAGGGTGCCCACAGGCCCAGGGGCACCCTCCGCACGTGTCATGGCTGCAGCTCTCTGCCGGGGTGGGATGGAGAGCGCCCTGTGTGGGGGTGTCCCTGGCGCCCCTGAGAAGCGGCCCCCACAGGCCCTCAGTGTGAGGGCGCCGCCCAGGGAGCAGACCTGGATGGAGGTGGCTCGGGGCAGCCGATGGGGTGATGCCACCGCCCGCCGGGCGTTCATCCTGCCGTCGGCCAGCCCTGGGCTCTGGGGGCCCGGCTGCCCCAGCCCTGTTCTGCGCGAACCCAGAGGTGGGCTTCTCACTGTCGTGGAGTGGGGACCAAAGACCACAAATCAGTGACGAGGGGCCTCAGGGGGTGTAGCAACACCAAGGTGCTCCGCCCACACACTCGAGCTCACCCAGCGCCACCTGACAGGCTGCTAGGGAATCCGTGAACCTCCTCGGGCACCAAGGTCACTTGTGGCCAAGCCGCCGGGTCCCCCAGCATGGAGTCCTGGGCCCTGCTGGCAGTGGACGGGACACACCTGAGTCCTGACTCCCGACACACGAGTCACTGCCCTGACTCACTCCCCTCGGCATTTGTCACCTTACGCGCATGGACGCTCCCCGTGAGCTCATTTGCTCCTCGTGACCCTCCCCAGGGAGGCGCTCGTGCCCCCACTTCACCCAGCACAGGTCCAGCAGCAGCGTTAGGGTGGGAACCACCACACGTGGCCGCCCCACACACCTGCCCAGCCCTGGGCCGCCTTCTCGGGTCTTTGTTGTCACAGCTCCAGGCAACTGGGGGAGGCTCAGCAGCCCCCGCAGCACGCGGAGTCTGCCCACTGCAGCGCAGGGCTGGGCCGGTTTCCGCAGGCACCGCAGGCTCCTCCGGGCGGCTCTGCAGGGGCCCCAGAGCAGCAGAGCCTGGGTGTTGCTGTCGGCCTGGGCTTGGGGGTTCAGGCTGCCCTCCTCTGCCTGTTCAGGACAGATGGGAGCCAATGCACCCCGTGTTTCACCTGCTGGCTGCCTGCAGGCCCTCCTGAGCCCGGCGTCTGAGAGCTCAGATGCCCAAGGCGAGCTCAGAGCAGGGCCAGAGAGGGACAGTGTGGGACTTCAGTACCAGGCGTGTCACTGAGCTCAGAGGAGAAAGGGCGTCCATGGTTCAGGCTGAACGGCGCTGCCCAGGCCCTCCGGGGCCTCCCAGGTGCCCCCCACAGTGCCTGGTACCTGCGACCTGAGAGCCAGGACCTGGGGCCTGGGGCGGGTCCTCAGCACAGGGCCAGACACACTCTGGGGCCCCC